TTCTTCTTCTTCTTCTTCTTCTTCTTCGAGCTTTAAAGTCAATCTGACACGCTCACTCACTCACTCATTCTCTTTGCGTCAGCCCTGATCGCTTGCTCACTTTCTGCCCGGGAGGAGCCAGATGGGCTCTTAAAAGTCATGTGGGTCGGGGGGGGGGGGGGGGGGGGGGGGGGGGGGGGGGGGGGGGGGGGGGGGGGGGGGGGTCAGTCAGTTAGTGTGGCATTTCTCCCGCTGTCTCTATCTGTAATCTGCTCACTTCATCAGAGCCGCAGCTGGACGGCAGACATGGAGCGACACGATGGCGGCGAGACGAGCAGCCGAATGAACGAGAAGATAAATCTATGGATGGATGGAGCAGAGGGACGAGTGGAGGAAAATAAAAACAACAACAACAACAACAACAACAAAAAAAACAGAAACCTGTGACGTCGGAGGGATGATGGTGGTCTCGGCTGCGATTGGTGAGACTGGGATCACAGGGATTATGGGAGAGGAGGGCGGGGTGGCCTCTGCCTGCTGAACAATAGCATGGTGAGGGGTCAAAGGTTAGACAAACACAGAGCAGCACAGATGAACAGCAGGAGGAGGAGGATGGAGGATGGAGGCATGTCTGTGTTGACTGACAGGTGTTTGTTTGTTTTCATCATGTGGAGGTGCCAGCTGGGAGGAGTTCAACACACACACACACACACACACACACACACACACACACACACACACACACACAGTGTCAGACAGGTCAGCCAATCACAGGAAGACGTTGTGTGATTGACAAACTGACACTTGTGCTTTTTGGTCAATGGTGATGTGACAAAACTCGACCCATCTGCTGCTGAGAAGATTAAACCATACTGTTTGACCTGCGTCTGTGTGTGTGTGTGTGTGTGTGTGTGTGTGTGTGTGTGTGTGTGTGTTAAATCCCCGGTCCCTTGGTGCAGTCTCAGCAGGGGACGGATGTCCTTTTTTTTGTGATTATTGAAAAGCAGCAGACATTTCAATCAGGGCGAGCAGAGTTATTAACCGCAGACTGAACATAAAGATAATAAAGATCCCAGAAAGTGGAGCCAGAACATCTGGATCGCCCCCTGGTGGCCGGCTGCAGTACAGCTCGTGACGATGTTCTGATAAAGTTTTGTTATTTTAATTTATGAAGAACGTTTACGTTTTTGGATTCTCCGTTCACTGTGAAGGCGTGTTGGAAAACTACACTCTCTTCATGACTTCAAGGCAACACGCTGTAACATGTAACTGATACACAAATGGTTGTTTTGTGGGAGAAGAATTCCTTTAATATGTGAGAGTCAGTTTTCAGTCTGAACATTCACTCAGTCAGTGCGTTTACATGACATCAGAGGAAATGGATTTACTGTGTCACTCTGACTAAAACCGGACTGGACTTTTCCTAAAGAGACATGCATGTATACAGTCAATCAGACCCAAACTGGCCGAGGCGCTCTGAGCATGCTCCACAGTTTCCGCCCCGGGCTTTGACCCGGAAGTCCAATAGCATTAAATGTGTAGGAGAAGAAGAAGCCGGTAACAACATGGAGAAATCTACATCCAGAGCCGTGACTTTTTGGACGGACCAAATGTACAGAGCTGTAAAGTTGTCCACCATGGTACCAGTTAGCTGCTAGCTAACCGTAGCTAACTTGTTTGTCCATTGTTTGGTCTGTGACGTAATAGGTCAACAGGAAAAAGGTCCAATACTAACAAGCTGAAAGGGGGCATATCTCCACCTATCGTAGAGGAGTCGCACATACTTGGCTCAATAAATGGATTCCCCTCCCGTGCTTGTATACTGGGACAAGGACAGTAGGCCAGTTAGATGTCCTCGTCCAGCTGGGACTGTGGCTCCACTTCACTGTTTCCATGGAAACAGGCTGAGTGACGGGGCTACCTGTTAGCATCACACGGCTAACATTACCTAATGATTATCAACAGTTTTAACAACAGAGTCGAGCTGTGAGATTTTAGCTCGCTGTCAGATGTTAATGTCAGACACCACAGAGCAAATGATCTTTTTCTCGTTGCCCCGTCATCAGTACTTCAAACAGATAAACGGATGGTTTTAAATAAGTTTATCTGTTGATCTTAAATCACATTTGCTTTTGTGTGACAGCATCTTTTTTATTGCTTTTATTTCTTTTTATTTGTATTTATGCAAATTTAAATTTTATGTCTTGATTTTTGCATTTTTTCTGTCTTCTTGTTCGACTTACATTTGTCTTGCTTATGTTTAATTTGGACGGTTTGTCTCTCTGCTGCTCTGTCGCCATCTGAGCTTCCTGTTCCGCCTTTGCATTGACTGTCAGAGCACTTTGTCAACACTGTTTTTAAAGGTGCTCCATGACTAAAGTGACAAATTTTTGCTTTTATAATGAATTTCAACTGAACTGAGTATGAATTAAAAATCTACAAAAGAACTGCTAAGACAAATAAGATGGAGAAGAAGAAGCAAAGAAGCAAATTAAGAGTTTGAATTTTGAAAGTTTAAATTGAACTTTATTCTTCATTTTGAGTATTTCTTATAATTCATGTTCTTTCATTTTTCTTTTTTCATTTAAGGTATTTGATTTTTTTAACCTTTCAGCTTGTGCTTTGTTTGGGTTTTTTTTTTTTGCTCAATAAAGGAAAATAAAAAAAGAGCAGAACCTTTTAAAACCCTGATAAAAAGAGGAGAGCGTGCGGCAGCCTCCATCCCGTTGACCTCTATTATACAAGAGCAGGACCTGGTGGAGCTGCTGGCAGGAAGTGCCGCTCTGTTTCGAAGAGGCTTAATTGTTGTGCTGCAGCAGCAGAACGTGGCGCCCATGGAAAACCAACAGACGCTAAAATTAGCCCCCGCACATCGACCACATTGATCCGGCAGCCCTACTTCTGGAGCGCCGCTCGGAAAAGCCGCTGACAAAGGGGCTTAATTGCTCCCAAAGAATACAAACGGCTGTGACAAATGCAGCAACACACAGAGTTCATGCTTTAATCTAACGAGAGAGACAGTGAGAGTGAGCGCTCCTGCACAGAGCAGATCTCTGCAGTGATGAATAAAGTAAATAAATGAGCATCAGCACTGTTTCAGAAACTATTAGGCCATTCATCAATTAGTTGATCAACAGATTAATCAACAACAATTTGTAATCATAAAGTTCCTGTGAGTAAATGGGGTTACATGTTAAAACCATTAGGGCCATATTCTGGGAGACATACTGACATAAACACATATATTTTTCAAGTTAGTCTTGTTGGCTTTCTGACCAGGTAGGTTCTATTTGTTAAATCTGGCAGTGTATTGCAGGGCAATTAAAACGATTGTTTGAAAGAAAAATAAATCTACTTGAGCTGAGAGAAGCTGTCAATCAAGCTTGATCTGATGACGCCCCCCCCCCCCCATCCTGAGAAATGATTCGAGCAGCCAAACGAGCTTATTTTGAGTAAGATTTTCAGATAGTTATGAACAGTTATGAGACATGACAGGCTCATCTTTGATTTCATATTTCGTATTTTTACTATTTCAAGCAGAATTTCCAGTCGCTTTAAAGAAAAGTGCCAAATATGTTTGAGTATGCTGTTGATTATAACATTTTAAAAAGAAAGAAAATAAGAATCAGTGGGGTCAGACTTTTGAAAACCTCAATCTGTGCATCTCCAATAAAGACATTAATCTATCATGGAAACAACTACTGACTGCAGACTTACTCAGTCAAATGGTAATTGGTGTGTACGCCATCTTCACACACACCACTGCAGGTAAAATGTAAAACACAGGACTGAAGCAGATTTAAAACTGAATGTCTGAGGAGGAAACAAGAGAAGCTGAAACAGCTGAGGATGAAAACGTGACTGAACGAGAAGCTGTGCCGAGTGTGATGAGGACGAGTGGCTGAAATGACGAAGGTTCTTGTGGTTTTCACACGGCAGATGTCATGACAACAGAGTCACACACGGACGGTCTGTATTGATTCTCCATGAACTGACTCACTGTAGTAACTCCATCTCTGACAGCAGCGCACACACACACACACACACACGCACACACACACACCACTGTTCCATTTATAATCTCACAGCAGAGCGACGCTCAGCTCCTCAGTCACCAACAACACAAAGAGTTGAAGGGTCAGAGGTCACGACACCGAGACAACAACTGACACGGACACAATGACCCAAGATTCAGCACCAAAACAAAAACAGAACTTGCTCCAATCTGGTTTTGTTGCATACCTCAGATTCTTCCTGAAAACTGCAGGAGATCAAAAACTCTGACTGTGAAGGAACCGAAAAAACAAACTCCTCACACTGCTGATTTGTCATCCGAGGACTGAGAAGTCTCCGACAAATTTTATTAACGATTAGGAACCGGCATGAGTACTTGTTTAGCTTCAGTATTAGTTCAACATATCGTTTATCATTTAAAACAGGTGAAACCTTATTTCATTGCGGAGCTGCGTGCAGCATGCAGCTTCACATTGCGCCTCCTTGCGGTGAAGGCAGAGACGGGGCTAACTGTTAGCATCACACAGCTAACATTTGCTCCTGGTTCTTAACGGGTTCAGCGACAGAGTCAGGCTGTTTTATTGTCGTGTGTTTGTTGGGACCGTTGAACAGCTCAGTGTTGGATGTTAGCTGCTGCTGTGTTAGCTTGTGCTAGGTGGGCAGATGGTGAACTAATCACAGGATAGCAGCTCGGAGACCGTCCTTCAGCGCTGCCTCAAACCTCTGTAACGTTAAGGTAGCAACAGAAAGTTTTGTTGTTCTTGCAAGTACTCAAGTACTCTATAATGCAGTGCCAGTACTTGAATATGGAAGTAACTTAAAATGCCCACCCCTACTGACGACGGTCCTCAGACTTTTCCTGACAAAAGTCAGAGGACAGAAAACGTTTTAAGTAAAGTGAGTAAAAGTAGTCGGGAGTGTGAAGGATTTCTTTGTTTCTTTTCCAGAACCAGATTTTTACAAATACAAGCTTGTTTTTCTGCACACCCTTTCATTGAACAAAAGAAGCTAAAGTTGAGTAAAATATCGTCCAAACATGAGCAGACGTTAAAGATTTTGTCAAAGTAGAAATACAAGAACTCATCGGTAAGATTACAAATCTGACCAGATATTAAGTACTTCGATATCTGGTGCTAGGAACCCCAGTAATTTTTGTTACCACCTCCGTCCTACAAATACACGGAGCTATGAACTACGCTTTGCTAATGACCCAGCGCTAAAAAACCCAGTGCTGCTTGGTATCGACTTGGTGCTACACATACTCATTGCTATTAATTCAGTACTTTTTGGCACCAACTTGATGCTTTGAATACTTGAGCTACAAACTACCTCTTGAGAGCAACCCCGTCCCACAAACCACAGTATGTCTTGGTATCAACTCAGTGGTGGGAATACTCAGAGCTACAAACATCAGGACTCTTTTAAAACAGATTTGGTTCAGCCTTTCAAAGACATCATGGTTGAAATAAAACATTTGTCCAACCTGACGGTCTCCCCACTTCAAACAGAACATGTCGATGTTG